TCAAAGTATTTTCTTATATATTTTATTTTAGTTAACGTGATGATGTTGGACAGAATAATTATCCTAATATTTCTTGTGATCAGATAATATTAGAAGTTTATAATTCGAATTGATAAAGTCATTAGGGCCCTCTCGCCATAATCTAATCTACTAATAGTTTATGGTATTTTAATAAAAAATTGAAGTTAAAAAAACGATGATAAAAATTTGAAAGGTAAAATTGTAATTTTTTTTTTTACAAAATACAATCCTTTCCTCCTATTAGAGCATCTCCAACCCTGAACTTATTTTTTCACCAAATTTGGATAAAAAATGAATCATTTTCTCAATTTGATATCAGTGGTTCTAACGGTGCATCAAAATCCTGTGGGTCAACCGGTTGGTCGACCAGTAAAGCCCAATTTATTTATTTTTTTTTAAACCTTTTTGAACTGTTTGAACCTACCTCCGTGGGTCAACCGGTAAAGTCAAATTTTTTTTTTTACCTTAATAATAATAATAAATAGGTATGGAGTGGGTGATAAAAAAAAAGAAAAGAAAAGAAAGTGGATGCCCCCATGTGCTGTCTTCTACGTGTGGAGTGTGTGCCCATGTGAAGGCCAAGCTTTTCAGTGTGGGCATTCCAAAAGATGCTGGGAAAAGGCAGGTTCACACAACTGGTCGATCTTCTGGTCATTGGTGCATGGGCCCAGATGGCAAGAGTGTTTATGCGTCTGAAAGTGGGCTGGAGTTGATGGGTAAAATTGCATACAGACATTACAGGAAGGAGAGTGGAGCTGGGTTTAGAAGCTTGAACTCCTTGTCATGGAGATCCTTAGCTCTCTGAATGGCGGCAGTGGATGCTCAAAATCCTCTTCTTGGAGATACTACTTGTGGTTCTCTACTGCAACAAGTGCAGCGAATTTGGGATGAGGTTGGTGAATGTGATGAAGAACGGGACAAGATGCTTCTTCAGTTAGAGCTGGAGTGTTTGGATGTGTGCAAGAGGAAGGTGGATCAGGCTGCAAATTCAAAGGCACGACTTCTTAAGGGCTTGGCAGATGCCAACGTTGAACTCTCGAGTCTTCTATCTGCTCTCGGAGAGAAAAGTTTCGTTGGAATTCCTGAGAAGAGTACAGGAACGATCAATGAACAACTTACTGCTATTGCACCAGTTCTAGAACAGCTATCCCTGAAGAAGCTGGATGAGTTTCAGTCTCGGCTCCAAGGTGGCCCGGTCGTGGATTTGGAGCGGTGGTGGCTCGGCAGTGATCAGTCACGGCTGGAAGCAGTGGCGAGGCTTCCGGGGACAGACATGAGGTGCGCAGACCGTGTTTTGAACCATCATTGTTGCAGACGAGTGAAGGTAAGTGTAGAGAATTTTAGCGGACTAGGTTGAGGTCCGGCGGACGGCGAAGGTGAGGTTGCCGCCCGCCGGGAAGCAAAAATACTAGGTTCTAAACCTGCTCTGATACCATGTTAAAAATCATGTATTATTGATTGATGTTGTTAATGTGTTATGTATTACAACTCCTATATATAGAAGAGAAGGTGGTAGTAGGTGTAGTGTAGTAGAGGTGGTAGGTGAAGTGGGTGCTAGTGGAGATGGTAGGTGGAGGAGTAAATTGGTAAATTCTAACACTGACTTTGTTGTCTTCATTTGTCTCCCATTGCACTGTCTCTCTCAAATTAATGGTATGGGGAGGGGCTGTGGTGGATGGGGCTTGGGGAAGAGGAGGTTATGGTGTGTTGGCTAAGATGGTAGTGGGTTGCGGCGGTGGGCGATGGATGAGGGGAGAGAAAAGAAGAGGGATTGTGCCATGGAAGATTGTGGTGATCGACAATGGATGAAGGCAAGATAAAGAAGATAGTGGGATTGCTTGGTTATCTAGAAGAGATAAAATGGATGTTTATTTGTTAGGTTGATAAGCTAAAAATAAAGGAAAATAAGATGTTTTGGTATGATGGGATAAAATTTTCTAAAAGAATAAAATCATGTATCTTTTAACAATAGACACCCAACAACTTTGACAAGGGAGAATGTACTTTCAGAAATCACAGGGGAAATTTTTATAATTGTCAAAAACCTCATGAGAGGTTTGTGTAATTAGCCGTTAAATAAAAGAAGATAAACAAATTCACATACAAATACATATAAATATATATGTTTTTATGTAATTACAGAGAGAGAGAGAGAGAGAGTGTTTTTACATACCATATAGTTAACTTGTGATAGGTATAGGTATATCTGTTAGAGAAGCCTACGGTGACGTGGAAAATCCTATTTAATATTAGTGTAACAAAAATGCTAGAGGCCTCAAAAATTCTACCAAAAGTTTTACCAAATGTCTCACATGGGTGTGGGACCCACATGGGACCCACATTGTGTGGGTCCCACACCCATGTGAGACATTTGGTAAAACTTTTGGTAGAATATTTGGGGTCTCTAGCATTACTCGCATGGAAAATATCAACACAACAAAATTCAAGTTCAGACCAAATGGGATGGAGTGGGCACCACGCCTTTTTGAGAAGGTGCGCCCACATATCGGATGTGACTTTTCATATTCTATTGTGAATCATTGAGGTCTATATTTGATAGTAAATTGTTTTTCCCACAAGTTGTTGGATTTCATTTTATATTTATCGAGAGACATATCAAAGGACTATGGAAATCCGAACGACCAAATCCAAGCGACTCACACATATTGCCAAAAATAGACCGATTCACTAAGACTTGGAATCTACATCTAATTTTTAATGGGAAAACTAGGAAACCCTGACTCTGTTAATTTAGGCTACTAATCCGTTACTTCCAAAAATCTTGATTTGGGAGTTTAGGTACACAAAGGGAAGATCATTGATTGAGCCCATTTTTGCTCAATCTAAAAGACTGGCCTCTACTAGTTTCTTTTTATGAGATTTATTTTGTTATTTAATTCGATTGATTCATTATTAATTTGCTTAAATTCCTTAAACTAACCTACCATCTAAGTTATTCCCACAGTGTAGACCACATCCCTGTAATTTGGATACTTCCATATTTGCAAAGATTTGGACCGAATCTAATCAAAAAAGTTTTGAAAACAAAGGAAGCAAGTACCCAAGCTAGACTGATATGACCTCCAAACATGCGATCATATCAAATATATACAATATATGGTAAACATGCAATCATATCAAATATATACAATATATGCTAAGGATGGAGGTTATGATGCATACCCAAAAGTGTGTAGGAAAAGAAAGGATCTGGCCAAAATCCATAGCATCAATCGCCATGAATAACTAGATTAGATAAACAAATGTATGATCCTAAATGTTACAACTAAGGCACACAATCACTACATAAACCAGGAGACCAGGTGCATGGAACACAACTTATATGTATATGTACAAGACAAATAATCCAACTCATGGGTAGATTTAAACATGTACAAATAGTGGCTAATATGGGTTTAAATGCATGAAAAACATTTTAATAATCCTAGTCTAAAGATGCAAGGCATGCATAATAGAAATACAAAAGAAAAGTGATCAAAAGCTACATTAAAACTATGAATCATGCGATGAAACCTAACTAACCAATATCAAAGATGAAAATCATGGTGAAACTACTAGAAAAATGTAGATAAAAGAGGACAGATCTCTAGTTTGTGAATCAAACCAAAGAAAACGCATAAATAGATTGAGAAGTGAAGTTGCATGTGTGTTCTCCTTAGGTGTTTGAACCTTGGTATGTTTGTTTTCCAATGGATATGCTTCGGTGGCTCAAGAACAACTTCTAACCTTAAGGTTTAGGGAAAAATTTCGGAGCCAAGTGTAGGAGAGTGTTGTGTATTTATAGGCAAAGGTGGCTTTGCACGCTATTTCTTCTCCTCTTGTTTCCTCTGTCGTCCACTATATCTTTTCTCCTTAGATCACTATTAATTGTGATTTCCTTTTTAGTTTGATTTGGCTGAGCTACCCCTTGACCTGATATTGCCTCTTGTTGGGATTGGGATTCAACCATACTACTGGACAGTTTGCCCATTAACATGGGCCTTGTCACAGTTTGGTGAAGCCCAACTTCTGAGCTTCTAAATTAGGGCCAATCAATCACTACTTCCAAAGTTATACTAGGCCTATTATAATCTGACCCAGTTAAGCTTCTAATAAATCCAGGTGTAAATACACTATCATCAACCCTTTGTCTTCCTTCATTACTCTTTTGGTTGGACTGCTCAACCATTAATGGAGCACTACTCATGCATGCTTTATCTTCTTTTGGATGCCCCATACCAGTGCCTGTTTCATTTACCATCAAGACGGATATCGAACTATCAATTGCATCCACCTCATCCACTTTTTCCATGTCATTTCTCTGTCGTTCTGCCATGTAGTTAACTTTTCCCATTAACATTTCCTTCTTTTTTTCCACGTCATCATCGACTAAAACCGTTTTTTGAGAATTGATCGTTTCTCACATTCATCCAAGGATTGTCTCCCTTCCATTGAAGATCGTTGCAAGGGCAAAACTCCATATTTTCACATGCCTTAATCTCATGTTCTTCACAAACTCGTATTGGGTGTCTTCTTCCTTGACATTCCAGATAGATTACCTTGTTTATATTCTCCACAATGCTTGTAGCAATTTGCACCTTTCCAAATTGAAAAGATTCCATATGCAAGGTATTCTCCTCAAATTCTAATATTTCCACCCAGGGTTTCCTAATGCTACTAAAAGTGTTCACACTCCAAAGATTGAAAGGTACACCAACGCATCCAATCCACACATACCTTTCAAACTCCAAGCTCAGACCTTTTTTGCCTTCTAAAACACATTCACACCAGTCATCAATCCATTCTTCAAGTATTCTTCTTTTGGTTCTCAAATCCTCAAGTGAGTTGAAAGTCAATACTGCTACTCTTCCTCCCCCATTACGCATTTGTACATCCTTTACACCCCTCTCCCACACTTTGTTTTTGAATCCTTCAAAGGAAACATGAAATTTGAGTTTAACGAACAAGCTTTCTTAAAGTCATCCATTCCCTTCTTCCACTGCTTTAACTGTTAAAGTTGTTTCTCCACTTGCACCTTTTCCTTTTACAATTTCTACAAATGATTTACTTCTTAAAGGAGCATTCCTAAAGGTGGTCGACTGCCTGTACTGGTTCATATTTTGCTCTGTTATTCGATTCACTGCTTCCTTTAAACCAACTTGCTGTTCTTTGCCAAAATCTGCCCTTTTAACTTGTAACACTTTTTCATCACACCACATTCCAACCGCTTTTTGAACAACAACTTCAGTAGCAACCGGACAGTCGTAATGTACAAACCCGAATCTTGACCGTGTTGTTTTCCTTCTTTTGTTTGGGATAAAGACATCCTTAACCACTCCAAATTTTGTAAAAAAAGGATAAAGGCCTTTTGGATCTAATGACACTAGTAAATTATCCACAAAGATACTGAAAATCCCCATTTACTTACCAGCATCCTTTGTTCGTTGCACTCTCCTTCTTTTGAAGATTGTACTCCACCCTCCTTGGTTCGCCATAGCAGGACCTTGCTCGCAATGATCTTGTGCTTCAACTCAACGTCATGGATGCTGAACCTCCATCACCACCTGCTTACCACCTGTTTACCTTAGTACCCTTCTTGACCTTCCACTATAACAAGCTTCTCACCATCAGATCTTGTGATTAAAACTACAACACCATTTTCTAACTTAGTATCTATCTATTTTGTGCTTTTCTACGAAAAAACCCAAACGGACTTCAATGAATTAACCATATATTTCTTTTAATGGTATACAATAGTTGTTGGAATTAGCAAATAAATTAGGATTCTGTAAATTATGTATTGCGGGACATTAGGCTTATTTTCTTCTATTTGATTTTATTTTTATTCTACCTTCCTAAATTGTAATCTTTTCAATTCAGTATATATATATGCAGGGCTAATCATGAATTATGATTAAGCCATTCAATTCTTTTATTCTTCTTGGTATCAGAGCCAAACCCTAGCCACCAACCTCTCTCTCTATTTTGGCGGCCCCCATCCCTACCCATTACACCAACAGTCTCTTCTCCCCTACCCATCCACCTGATACCCCTTTTTTCTCTTTCTACCCTGGCCGACAGCCCCCCTTCCTCCCTCTACAATCTCTCGGCAACCTCTTAAAACTATTGTTGACAGCCTTTTAAGTGCCGACTAGGACCCCTCTGGCTTGGGTCTAGTGCGGCTGGTCTTCTTGGGTAGTTTTACCCCCTTTTCACCCTCTAAGGGGTCCCATGCTGATGCGGTGAGCACTTTTAGACTTTTTTTTGTTGTGTTGGGCTACTGGTGTGTTCAGTAGCGTTTATAGTACGCAGATTTTTTGGCCTTTGCTTGTGATATTGCTGGTTGTTTGCTTCGTTGTGACTATTATCATGACTGAATCAATTGTTTTTTATGCACCTTCTGCTCTTGGTAAATCGGTTAGGTTGGATTTTTCTTCTCTAAACAAACCCCGGCTCATCGTATTACAAGTCTCTTGTTGAATGGGAAGAATTTCGTTGCATGGAGTCACTCTCTCAAACTGTATTGGGGGGGGCAAAGGCAAGGCTCATTGGCTTCATATGACTGAGACCAAACCTCTTGTCGATGATCCTAAGCATGGGCAGTGGAATATTGATAACTGTGTCATCTTGGGATGGATGTTTAATTTTGCGGAAGATCGGATTTATCACATGTTCATGTATTGTGACATCGTCCTCATCTGTGGAAAGCTCTTACCCAGATGTATGCTCATGCTCATAATGATGCTCGCATCTTTGAACTTTATTAGGACATCTCTCATGCTTCTCAGATGGCTTTGGAGCTCTCAGTTGCCGATTTCTTTAGGTAGGTTCGTTGGGAGGAATTGACTCAATATGAGCCCTTGAGTGACTTTTCAATGGAGGCAGCTTCTATTGTCTATAAACGCTTGGGCCACTAGCATACTTATCAGTTCCTCATGGGTTTAAAACCTGAATTTGAGTCTTTTCAAATTCAGTTTTTGAACACCTCACTATGCCGTCTTTATATGAGGCCTTTGCTACTATTGATAGCGACGAGTGTCGCTGCTATTTGGTTCAGTTTACTTCTCCCAACATCCTAGAGCCTTCACCTATTCCTGATCAGATGGCTCTTGCTGCAAGCTCTAGTTCCTTTGGCTCTTCTAGAAATATTACCTGTCACCATTGTGGGGAAACTGGACATGTTAAGGCCCGCTATTTCAAGCTTTATCTTGAGTTGAAGCAACATTTTGCTCGGAATCGCGGGGCTCGTGCCACTTGTACTACTGCTATTGTGGAATCAGTCTTTGCCACTGTGCCATCTAGTGTTCTTGACCTGCATCAGCTTCAGTCTTAGATTAGCCAGCTTGGCTCCCTCACTACTTCTTAGCCTGGTCCATCTTCCTCCACAACTACCCTTGCTACAGATACTTCTACTTGTTTCCATGTTCGGTTTGCTCGTCCCACATGGGTTCTGGACTTAGGGGATAATGATTATACGATTGGTGAGTTTTCTTTTTCTTCTTTTCTGGTTCCTATTACTATGGCTAAAACTATGTGTCTTGCGGATGGCTCTCTCTCTTCTGTGAGCCATAAGGGTGTTGTGTCTTTATCTCTTGACATATCTTTCTCATTTGTTCTTTATGTTCCGAAGTTTGCCTATAATCTGCTATTTTTTAGTCATCTTGCTAAGACTTTTAATTGTGTAGTCATCTTCTTACCCACTTCTTGTGTTTTACAAGACTTGAGTTCGAAGAGGATTTTTGGCAGGAGATATGAGCACGATGGGCTGTATTACTTTTGGGATCCTCCTCATTCACCACCACCACCTCCTTTATCTAGTTTTTAGGTGTCTGTTTTGTCTACTTCAATGTCTTATGTTTTTTCTAGTCAAACTTTAGCCTTATGACACGCTCATTTAGGTCATGTCAACTTCAATATTTATGTTACTTTTTCCCTCTTCAAATAAAGCTTGTAAGGATTCTCATTTTCATTGTGAAGTTTGTGAGTTGGCTAAGCATACGCACAATAATTATATTCTTGACATGACTCGTGCACCTTGTGCCTTTGATCTCATTCACTCCAATGTTTGGGGTCTCTTTTCTTTACATTCTTTATCTGGTCATAGATATTATGTGACTTTTATTGATAACCACACTAGGTGTACATCGGTTTATCTTCTTAGATGTAAATATGAGGTTTTTCCCAATTTTGTTCAGTTTTTACAAATAATTAAAACCCATTTTAAGTGTATTGTTAGGAATACTTGCTTTGATACTTTTCGCTCCCATCTTAATCAGGCGGGAATTCTCTAGCAACTTACTTGTCCTCGTACTCCTAAACAAAATGAGGTGGTTGAACGTAAAAATCGTCATATTATGTCTATGGTTCGGTGCCCTTCTTCGCGGTATGAATGTTCCCTTACAGCTGTTTATCTGATTAACCGCATCCCGAGTCGTGTCTTGCAAGGTCTTGCCCCGTTTCAAGTTCTTATATTTCCTATCGTTCCACATGCGTTTAGTTGTACTTGCTTTGTTCAGAACCAAAGTCCTACCTGCACTAAGCTAGATGATAGGGTTGTCCGCTACATTTTTCTAGGGTACTCATCTTTATCTAAAGGGTATCGGTGTTATGATTTAGTGTCTAGACATTTTTATCATTCTTTGGATGTCACTTTCTGTGAGGATTTACCGTTTTTTGGGTCTAACATCCCTTTGCAGGCTCCTGTTGTGGTTCCTCCATCTCCCCAGCCTCCTCCTACTCTTCCTATTCCCATTTTTTATCCAGACACATCTGATACCTTGGATAATCCTGTTAATCCTAGCCCTACTCCATATCTATCTTCTGCACCGCCTCTAAAGGTTTACACTTGTTGCCCTTGGCCACCGCTAGAATCCTTTTCCTCTCTTAGGTCAGGCAATTCTCCTTCCCCTATTGCTCCTACACATTTTTCTCATTATCCTAATAGAAAGCATCATCCCCCTTCCTGTTATGGTTGGCTTGGTAGTACTTATTATCCTATTTCCCAATATAGTTCTTATGATGGTCAGGTTCTTATCGCTCTTTTTTGGGTAAACTTGAGTCTGTTTCTATTCCTCACTCTTGTCTCTGAGGCCCTCTAGCGGCTATGTACGCTAGAATGGATGCTTTAGAACACAATCAAACATGGGAACTTGTTCCGTTGCTTCCTTCGGCCAAGACAGTTGGTTGTAAATGGGTATTCACTGTTAAATATCTTGTTGATGGGTCTATGGATCGCTATAAAGCTCATTTGGTTGCCAAGGGCTTCACTCAAGTCCTTGATAAAGATTGGTGCCACCTTTGCACTGATGGTGAACTGACTTTTGTTCGCCTTCTTGTTTCTTTAGCGGCTGCTCATTCTTGGCCTCTCCATCAACTTGATGTCAAGAATGCTTTTCTCCATGGGAACTTAAGACTATCTACATGGATTCTCCACCCAGTTTTCGGGCTGAGGGGGAGTATGCGGGGAAAGTATGTCGGCTTCGCAAAACTTTTTATGGTCTGAAACAGTCTCATCAGGCTTGGTTTAGTCATTTCAACAAAGTTATCTTGTCTATGGGCTTTATTTAGTGCCACTCTGATCATACCTATTTCATTAGGTGACAAGCAAATGGCCAGTGCATAGTTTTGCTTGTCTATGTTGATGATATTATTCTTAAAGGTGATGATGCTACAAGAATTTGATCTTAGCCATGTTTTTGACATTAAAGATTTCAGTCCTCTCAAGTACTTTCTGGCTAATGAGATTGCTCATTCTTGCCAAGGGATTTCTTTGTCTCAAAGGAAATATACCTTAGATCTTCTTTAGGATACTGGTATGATGGTTTGTAAACCTGCTTCTACACTTATGGATCCTAATTTGAAACTTACAGCTAAATCTGGCGAGGTATTGAGTGATCTAGGTATGTATCAGCGTTTAGTGGGTCAGTTGATTTATCTAACCAACACTAGACTAGATTTACCATTTGCTATGAGTATTATGAGTCAGTTTATGCATGCACCTTATACAACTCACCTTGATACAGTCTATTATATCTTGTGATATTTGAAGACTACTTCTGGTTTGGGGCTATTCTTCTCTACAGGCATTCAGTCTGGGTTGTCTTGTTTCACTAATGTAGATTATGTTGGATCTAAAACTGACAGGTGTTTCTACCTTTGGTTTTTGTACCCTCTATGGTAATCATCTTATATCATGGAAGACTAAGAAATAAGCAGTTGTCTCGAGATCTTCAGTTGAGAGTGAGTACCGCGCTATGGCGCAAGGCACTTATGAGATATTATGGGTCAGATCTATTCTTCTAGAATTGAGCTTCAAGGAAAATACCTCATCTCTTTTGTTCTGTGACAATAAGTCTGCAATTATGTTAGGATCTGATTCCGTTCTTCATGAGAGGACTAAACATATAGAAGTGGACTTCAT